TGTAAAAACAGCTTCCCCTTGACCTCAACCTTAACACTATTATTTTAGCATTTAGCTGTCATTGCTTTGAGTCACTGATTCCTGACATAAAAATATCAAAAGGGAATATAGATGCATTTTTAAATTTTGATAAAAAACTATCCTATTTAACCCAATTCCTAAAAAGTTACTCTTTGAAAAAATTCCCAATAGAGCTTTTGACAGATACGAGATTTGTCAGTTATTAGATTTGTTGTGTAGTTAAATATTATGACTAATATAATCACCCTATTATATTATTTAATAGAGGAAGCACTATTGGAATCAGTTTTTTAAATGCAATGTGTAAAATACACTGAAGCATTAAGCACATGTTTATGCGATTATTATAAACTGCTTTGAATAACCTCAGTTGCTATTTTTATTTCAGAAACAAGTGTGCTCAAAAAATTTGACAGCTGGCCAAAAACAAAATGCTGTATAACTGGTTTTTCCAGCTCCACGAACGACATAGGTAGACAGAGCAGAGGGAGAGCAAAGGGATTCGTAAGGCCAGTAGCTTGTATTCAGATAGAAATGACACATAATAACGTAAGTAATTTCCTTCTTCACTCGACACCTCCACCCTGGCAGCAAAGGCGAGATAAGACTCAGCTACCAGGACCTTTTATCCACACGTCTTAAGCTACATATTGGCTTCTTAAGTCTTCTGTATTCATCTGCTTTAACCTGGATATGTTCCCACTTACAAGCTTTCTAAAGTTAAAAGTTAATTTTTCCGTTTTAATTTTTTATATAAAATATTGGATGAGAAGGAGGTTATATATAATGAGATGTGCTCAGGGCCCTATAATCTTTTTGGAATCATTCTTCATGGTCTCTGCACCAGGAGTGGACTGGGAGTCATCGAGTGAGCCTGGATGCAGGTGGAATACACTGGGGGCGGGTTGAAAGGAGAGCCCATTGAGGTGGGACAATGAAACAAGCTGATTTCAAAAGAAAGCTTGCAGACTAATAATGATATCTCAAAATGTATCAGATCTGTGCATTACATCAATTATTTCCTAAGCTAATGGCAATATGTCTTCATTTTATACCAATAACACTAAAGAGTAACAGCGAACTATTCATTGGCAACCATTTACTAAGCCGTTGAAGCATAAAAAGCTTTAATTCATTCGCAGACCAGCTTTTCTTTTTCTTTTTGATATGCTCATTTTACCTAATTCTTCCTATTCTTTCAAGTTATAAATCTTTAGGGGGTAATTAGTGTTCCTGTTGTCTTCCTCCCGTGCCAGGTTTCACAAGTGGTATTCAAGGTGTTCCAGAAAGCAAGTTTTATTCTCATTGTCACTAAATACAATTTCCAAACATGTTGATAACTGCCTTAAGTATTTGTAAATGTCACACATGGTTATCATTTACTTTTAAAAAGTAACATTTACTTGAATGAGCTTGAGAAACATTCAAGTAACATTTACTTGAATTCAAAGTAACATCCAATAAAGATGTTTACATTTACTTCTGAAGAATAATTAGTCGTTAGACGCTTTGAGAAATTTTCTCTATGGGAGGACAAAATTTAGTATTGGAGGCTTACGCTGAAAAATATAGTAATAATAGAAACCAAATAAAAGAGACTAAGAACTTTAAAAACAAAATTGGACTGAATTTGAATTTGATACTGTAATACATTAAAATTGCGCCTGGATAGCAAAAAGCCAGCCAATACAGGAAGGAGACATTTGGAGACTTTAGAAATATTATTGCTGGTTCTCACACATTTTCAAAAAATGGTGTTTTGTGAAATTATGCTAAGTCATGACCTCATAAATAGACTAGATTAATATTCAAGTTGACTTGAAAAATAATTTAATAAAATCATAGTAAGTAGGAGCAAGGTGTTTTCTGTGGATAGCCAGTGAGGATTGTATAGGAGTTAGAACTTTGGCAAATAGAGAGCACAACCAGTATACTGATGTAAGGGTTGAAAATAATTTACAAAATTAATTTAATAAAAACGCTTACAACAGTAGCTAACAATTATTAACAAAATGACAACAAAGCTATTTGTGCTTGCAATTAATGACACATTTAAGCCCCAACCGAATTCATATAAAATAATAGGCAACAAATCGATAGCTGACACAGGGTACATTAAAATTAATGTTTACATTGAAGACCTGAAGTTGTGACAATATCTCCAAATTCCTTTTCACTTTCGCTTCTCAGTTGTGTTGAATGCAGCTCATTGTGGCCTAATAAGACGGCAATCATAATATCCAAAATATTTCTTAAATAGAACACTACATTTCCCCTACAACGCCAGATATAATAGTCTAATGTATTGAATTTAACAAAAGCCCGTGGTTACTAACTCTGAACTATAGAGCAGGTTTTGTTTCTTTAATTTCTAGCACTAACTGTGGTTCTTAGAGATAGCTACAGCTGATATTTGAATTGTCATGCTGTTCCTGAAAAGAACAATATATTTATCCTGGAAGTTTTACTGTAACTCACCCCTAAAATTTATGGGGAAAAGTTTCGTCATAAAAACACGTCCACTATTTATATAGGTCAAGATTGATTCAACTACATTTTGTAGAATGAGCACAGCTTTTTATATCAGACAAGCTGGCTTTTAACATTTCATTTACACTGTGACCCTGGGAACATTACATACTTTCTATGAGTCTCCAGTCCTAAATTACAAAATGAGAACATCACCTCAAGTCTCAAATGGTAGCATAAAATTAAAAAAAAAAAAAAAAAAAAAAAAAAAANAAAAAAAAAAAAAAAAAAAAAAAAAAAAAAAAAAAAAAAAAAAAAAAAAAAAAAAAAAAAAAAAAAAAAAAAAAAAAAAAAAAAAGCTAGTGCCATGTGCCTAGTACTGGGCCAGACACAAGGTGTTCATGACTTTTTTTCCCTCTTTTTCTCACTCCTGATATATTTTGGCTAATTGAAGATTAGTGAAAAAATATAGAAGAAGTTACTGGAATAAATCAGCTCCACTAGAAAGCTCATTATATCGCAGGCAATAGTGACACACATTCCCAAAGTAACATTCAATAAGATCAAAAGATTGGTTTTAAAAATGTATTTACATAGTAAAATTCATATGCAAGAAAATACTTTTCAGGGAAATGACCAAAAAAAAAACCCCGAATAAGCTACACCTGTGTGTATAGTTTAATTTGTAAAAATGAAGAAAAATAGCCAATTTTACTGAACGTTAAATGTTCATGGACAGGGAACAGAAACCAAGCTACTTCATGTAGGAATCTAGATCAACATCGAAACATATCAAAATAGAGTTTCTGTAAAGGAATAAGCCATTTTCATAAATGGGTTGATAATAATTAGAAGCTCCTATTATTTGTCCATGAAATCTCCTAGGAAAGGTGCTACTGCAGACAGGATTCTAGTAGAACTTGGCACATCCATTTTAACGTTTTCATCCCCCACTACTTTTAACCTTCTTGTAACTCCACACACTCAGACGACCTCACATATACATACACAATATTAAAAACACGCATGGCTTTAAAGCAGAAAACTCATTTTCTACAACAAAAGCAGGACACCGTATTTATACCCGATGTTCTTAGTCACGGAAATGGATTTTCCTCATGAGTTGCTAATTCACGTACATTATTAAGTTCCACCTTTCGAAAGGTGTGTCTTTCGGAGGATCTGTTGGATCATGTGCAAGAATTCTAAGGCATTAGAAGTAGTTGTTCCACAGGATGAGTGCTGCCCTCACAATGATACATAAGTCTTTAGTCTTCAAATGCCACCAGATAGACACAGGGAGACATTCATAGTCTACAGGTAGTTGGCTCAAAGGTCAAAAATTTTGTTTAAAAAAAACGTTTATGGAATAGCACCATAGAAAGTCTTTCAGAAACAAGTCCTTTTTTCCCACATGGCATTTTTTTTAACTGAATCCAAACAAGAGAGAGAGACTGTGTGTGTGTGCGTGTGTGTGTTTGTGAGTGTGTGAGAAAGAGAGAGAGAGAAAGACATCTTTCAACGACTACATGGCCTACTTCCACTTCGTTTCATTTTTTTTTAAATACAACATTAACTGTGACAATGTCAGCAATAACAACTATGACAGATTGACAACAACAGAAAAAACAGTAGCAGCTCTGGTGACTTGAGAATGGACCATCCAGGCAGTCACTTAGAAGAATTCTGTTCACACCTGTTGGAAGTTCTCTCCTGCAATTCCTAAGATATTACAGCGCTTCTTAAGTTTGGTGTGAAAAGGCAGCACTTTCACTGAAAGAACGGAGTTTACCAATCTGATGGGCATTTTCCAGCATTTAAATAAATGATGTCTAGAGATTAACTGCAATCATGGACACTATTGACATTTCCAACTTGTCAAAATGCCAGGAAACCGAGGTGGTCACAAGATCATTTGTGTCATTTGAATCTGGCCTGCAAGTGAAAGTAATGGAAGCTGAAGTACTCCTGTTTCCAGACATTGGACACGCCCACAATTAAAGTACAAAGCACCCTCAAAAGACTCCCATGTCCCAACATCCTATGTGGATCTGTATCCAAGATACAAAACCAAAGCAATTATCCTCAGACGCAGGAAGAGGGTTTTTCAGTTTATGACCAGCAAGATCATTTTATTTCTCCCAAATCTTGAAAAATTCAAAAAGAACACTCTGCAAGGTCACAGACCCTGAAATGAACTGCCTGAATTGCAAGGCATCTATGTCAAGCTGTCAACAAAAGTTTGTGGAGCCTTCCTTCAAGTAACAGGATGCCCTTTCGCCAGCTTTATTTCAATTTATACTGTCAAGCATGGGAGTTCCAGTCTCCTGGTAATGCTGATCAGAGTCAGCCAGAAACTTCTCTTGTGGTACAGAGCGAATTCTGGTCTTACAGTTTTCTTCCGTTCAAACTTATTATACAAAACATTTGTGCTAATATCTTCATTAAAAAAAAAATACGTCTTCTCGCCATTATGCACATTCCTTGATGTTCCGATGGAGGTTTTGGTGTTATTTTTTGGTATGCATTGTGTCTGGATATCTAATGCTTTTGTATCTTATATGAAATCCTTTCTTGTTGATTGTGTCATCGGTGTGAAAATGAATTAAAACCGCATCCCCAATGGAGTAGATTTCTTCTGGTGGCTACGGACAAAAAGAAACAAACAGGCAAATAAATAATCAGAACGAGTCATTCTTTTCTTCATTGAAATTCATGTTTGTGATTTTTTTGGGGGGGTAGGGTATATATGACTTAATCCTCTCAACAACCTTAACTAGTGAATATGAGTGACTTCATTTTACAGATGAGCGAATGTGAGTTTCAGAGAAGCAAATGACATGCTCAAGATCATAGTCAGAGACAGCTGGGCTTGGAACAGAAGGGTGTTTTCAAGTTCCAGAAAATGGTGTGTTTCCCCCCCTAAAATTTTAAGTCAAGTTCCTTTGATTTACAAATAAAAAAAGTGAGGTTCAAAGAGCATAAAGAGGTATCAAATTTGTTTCAGAAGGTGCTCTGAGGCAGAGGCAGTTCTGGAATCCAAATCATCCATTCCTTCCTGTTTTAATAATCCAAATACCAAGGTGCTTTTTTTGGTTCATTGCAGCTGGTATTTCGACAGGATTTCAATAGTATTCAGTATTATTTAAGCAATAGACACTGACAAAAAAAAAAAAAAGAAAAGAAAAGAAAAGAAAGAAAGAAAAAAATGGGACTAATGTCTTCTGAACAAAATAAGTCTTCAGAAGACCACTTGATATTTATCCAGGGAGTCCTGGGGAAAAAACAAGTATTGAGGAAATCTTAAGCTTTCCTTTTTCTTATTTCTCATGGGGACACTCTGAGACCTGTATCTGGAACTCTGTCCCATGCACAAGTGACACACTGCAGTGGAACAACATTCTGGTAGTGCTAAGCCCACATACCAGTGATGGCCCCACTGCAAGTGTATCCGCTGAGAGGAAAATGTCAATATGAATTGTGTGCCTATTACTTTTCCTTTATGCTTTAATTTAGGAAGTTTACCCAGTTGTCAAGTTGTGTGTTTAAATTTATTGCCTTTAGATTCTTAAAGGTTTGAGTATTACTTACACAATAAAAATGTGATAAAAAAGTTAGAATGTGGACCATAACAGGAAATTATAGCTACTAAATGCATCCCTCTCACATGAGATAATTGAGAAAATTCACTAGAGATGGAGAAGAGGTAAGGGAGAAGATGCATGGTATCATTTGTCAAGCCAATAATAATAATACAGTGTAACCTGTTTTTGTAAAAACATTGCCAATTTGTATATGGTACACATAACAATCATGAATCACTGGACTTTTTTTTTTTTTTTTAATCTGGCTGTGGTATCCTGTTGGTACCGTATTTACCCCTGATCCACAGAATCGACCAAGCCCCACCGCTGTTGAATCGAGACCATCAAAGAGCTCAACATAGTCATAGCCACAGTCAGCTTCTTCCTCCACTTCAAAAATCGGGAAGGATAACTCCAGGCGAAAGCCGCGTTCTGACACTACCAGCCATTCACAGTCGACCTGTCCTGGGTAGTTGTTATCACCAAACTGAGCATGAGAGTATAGATCTCTGGGTTTCAGGTCAGCTTTTAGTCGGCCACCACACTCTGCCCGGAAAAGAAAAATGAAATAAGCCCAGTGAGCTTTCACAAGTCCACTTTCAAATTTGATGTAGTCTGACCCTTCTCTAACTTCTGACTTCATTTTCATCATCAGATGTGTTTCCCATAATTGCAGAGTCTGTGCAACAGTTATTGACACAGACACTACACGCAGACTGCTGGCTTGGAATATCACCTCCAACACCTACAATCTCAGTTACTCTAGATGAGGGATGCCATTTCTCTGATCCATACGGTAAAATGCAGATGATAACAACAGTAGCAATCTCAGTGGGTTTGAGGATTTAATGAATACATGAAAATCACTTAAAATAGTACCTAGCATATAGTAACTCTTAATAACTATTTTTGTTAGACATGATACTGTTTTTAGTTTCAAATAACTATTTTTTATAGAAAAAAAGGTCAGTATCTTAATTCAAGTTTAATCTTAATCAATTAAGAACCTAGAATCCAAATGAATAAGAGATAACTTAAAAATCAACAAAATATAAGACACTTGGGTAGCTCAGTCAGTTAAGCATCTGACTCTTGGTTTTGGCCCCCATCATGATTTCACAGTTTTGAGTTCAAACCCCGCATCAGGCTCCCTGCTGGGAGCGTGGAGCCTGCTTGGGATTCTCTTTCCCTCTCTCTCTCTGCCCTCCCCACCCCTGCCACACTCTCTCTGTCTCTTGCTCAAAAAGAAATAAACTTAAAAAAAATCAATAAAATGTATAAAATTTGTATGTGTGTGTGCATGATACAAAACATAGAATATATATAGACTTAGGTAGAAATATTTACCTAACTTGGTTGGAAAAAAATACACGCATCCTTAATTGCAGTTACCTTTGTAGTTCCAGAAGCTATTAAGTATATTTTGTGTCTGTAATAAATAAAAAATTTAAATACTCTTTTCATAGCTTCTTTTTCAGAGAGATACTAATAAACATATGGATTACCAGTTATTACTTTTGTCACTAGAGGTAAATATACCAAAATAATAGATAAATATGCATAAACATTTATAGCTAGTGTAATTTAGAAATAAAAGTTTTCAAAAAATTTTCTCAGAAACTTTGTAATCCTAGACCCCAAACCTCCTATAAAACTAGGAATTATACAGATTATTATCCCTAATATCTAGGGATTATATTTATTATTATGGCAGAGAGTCAGGGATGAAGGAGATAAAAGAGGGATATAAAAAATGTAGGAAGAAAGGAGACTTTCTATCTCTGTTTGTCAAGCACTGGTAGGTTCCTGGGAAACCATAATTTCAGTTCTAAAACCGGGAAAGTCCCAGGAAAACTGAGGTAAGTTGAGAGGGGACAAAAACAAAAATCCAAGATGGAAAGATGTGGACAAGCCAGGATGCTAGCTATCAAAACACAACTGTGACATTCTCATGGTCATCTGGGAGCACCTGTGAGGATGGATTATGCAATTACCAACTCTTAGCTGTATTTTTCAGGTCTGTGTTTAGTTGACCCACACTGTGGTTTGGTGATTTTAAATAACAAAATATTTCTGAATCTTCAGGATGGAACCCCCATTCAGATGTATCTAAATACATGTAGGCTCAACCAAACCTATGGGCACAAAGACATTTAGATTCATGTATGTGGCTGATATATGAAAGAACTTCCAACTGGAGTTTCAATCATGAGAATGACTTCCCCCCTTGACTGTGCTCCATGATGAATGTAAATGTCCCTGTATGTTCCAGGTGGCAGGTGGGGCATCCTTCACAATCAATATGGGTGCTACTATTGCAAATGTAAACGTGTCAGAATCACCTGAAAACTGGCCTCACCTCTTGACTATTGTCTCTTGAATCCTATAGACTGTGAGCCAAACATCCTATCCTTCCTACTATGGAGCTCTTCTAGTACCAAAAATTATTTTTTTTAATTTTTATTATTTATTTTTGAGAGACAGAGCATGAGTGGGGGGGGAGGGGCAGAGAGAGAGGGAGACACAGAATCCAAAGCAGGCTCCAGGGTCTGAGCTGTCAGCATGGAGCCTAACATGGGGCTCCAACTCACGAGCTATGAGATCATGACCGGAGCCAAAGTTGGATGCTCAACTAACTCAGCCACCCATCTAATTCCAAAAATTATTGTCCTTCCCATATGACAGAACTCCACAGTCAAACTACGTGGGTCCAAATCTGAGCTCTGCCCTTCATGAGCTGTGGGACTTTATCTCATGCTTCATTTCTAAGATAAGGATCATACACAGTACTTACACGATGGGGTCTAGATGAAGAGAGAATGGGTTAATATCTGTAAAATGCTTGAAAGATATCTGGCACATAGGAAAAGCTGTATTAGTGTAAGCTACCACCATTACTGTCATAATTTTCCAGTGAGAACATCGAAATGTCATCATCTGTGCTGCTAGGGATCCATTCAGGTATGAAAGGAAAGGCCAGAAAAATGAAAAACAATTTAAAACACTATTAATCTGCTATCATAATGGCAGAGTTATACTTTTGAAGACCAGTAAAATATTTTGTGAAAAATATCTCCAAATTTAAGATGTAAATGGATAAACCAGTGTAATCTCATTAAATTCTCCCTGTTCTCAAAATTTGATTTATTGCCTGATTTGTTTTGGTTTCAACTTTTTAAAAAGCTTTTGTTCCGCAGTCAGGGAAAGCTGAAGACACAGACTGGGAGTTAGGAAGAAGGCTTTACCTTCAATGTGCCTGCTTTGTAGAAACAAAGTAGCAAGACAAAGACCAGGATCCAGAAGAGACCATTCTCTGCCTGTTCCAATTTCCAACAAAAATCAAGGAGGAAATGAAACAGTTGAACAAAATGGAAAAGGATGGGGCCTGGGTGGTTCAGGCGGTGGGCCTCCAACTTCCTCTCAGGTTATGATCTCTAGGTTTGTGACTTCAAACCCCACTTTGGGCTCTGTGCGGACAGCTCAGGGCCTGGAGCCTGCTTCAGATTCTGGGTCTCCCTCTCTGCCCCTCCCCCACTCGGGCTCTGTGTGTGTGTGTGTGTGTGTGTGTGTGTGTGTGTGTGTGTGTCTTTCTCTCAAAAATAAACATCTAAAAAAATTAAACAAAAATGGAAAAGGAGATTTCATGAAACCTTTGTGAATCTGAAAATGACAGTGAGGAGTTATTATTGGATTTTATTGAAAATGTCTAGAAAATGGCAATATTCAAAATAAATAAATTACATTTAAGGATGACTTAAAATGGTTCAGAAAGTTCACCTGCTTTCGTTTATCTGTTTCAGAGTACAACTGCATCCCTATAGATCGCTGCTAAAACTAATAAATCTGGAATTAATGATCCAACCATGAAAAAGTGAGAGACAGAATTTAGTCCACAGGATAACATTTTTAAAAACAAGTATGTTATATCCACAAGAGGTATGATTCTCATATGCCCCGAGAGAAATTCCATAAGCAGATAATAACAGCCAGAACAAGGGCAATTGCTTATGAGCTTCTTTGAGAATCCTTGTGGCAATTCCTCAAAATTTAGTTCATAGATCATTTAATATGGTCTCTTTAATGGGTGTTTTTTAAATAAATACACTCTCTGCAAATATTCTGTTCATTTACAAAGTTGGAATAATATAAAAGCAGTGTCACATGTCAGCAGTATTGTTTTTAAATCAATTGTCTGAATATACATAAGCTACCAGAATATCTTCCACAGAATTCTGGAAAATGAAAATAAAGCTGCATAAGAAAGGTGACAAGAAGGGAAGAGAAGCCTGGGTGGCTTTCATTTTAAGTTGGAAAGACATGACTGTTTATTTCCTGATAAAGTATTAAATTCCCAAAGAGGTCCTGTAACTTGACCTATAAATGCTTTTAGTGGGCATTCTAATTTAATTGAGTTAGATCAAAATAATTCTCTTGCTAAGTTCAAGAATGTATTATTTGATTTTTTAAAAATATCATTGATAAATAGTATGATGTTGTGTGCTGCAGGAAAGAAGTCCTACCAGACAGGCCACATTTTATTTTTTTTCTCAACATTTCAATTTTTTACTTAAATTTGAGTTAGTTAACATATATTATAATATGAATTTCAGGAGTGGAATTTAGTGATTCATCACTTACATACAATACCCAGTGCTCATCATAAGTGCCCTCCTTTATGTCAATCACCCACTTTGCCCATCTCCCCACCCACCTCCCTTCCATCAACCCTCAGTTTGTTCTCTGTAGTTAAGACTCTTATGGTTTGCCTCCTTGTCTCTGTTTTTTTGTTTTTTTTTTTTTAATGTTTATTTATCTTTGACAGAGAGACAGAGCGTGAATGGGGCAGAGAGAGAAGGAGACACAGAATCTGAAGCAGGCTTCAGGCTCTGGGCTGTCAGCACAGGCCCCAACACGGGGCTTGAACCTGTGAATTTCAAGATCATGACCTGACCAAAGTCAAACACTTAACAGACTGAGTGAGCCAGATGCCCCAGACAGGCCATGTTTTCTTTTCTCTCCACATTTCCCTCTTTTCCTCTATTATAGCCATATCCTCTCAGAGAATACACAGGATATTTTTTATTGGAGGATTTGTTTCCTTTAATAAGTTTATTTAAGGGTAGTGTAATATCATTTGTTACCTGATTAAAATGTATTTGGGCTTAGAATTTGGACCTACTATCAGAGAGTAAAAAGGACTCTACCCAATAAAGTCCATTACTCATGGAATTTTTACACAGCATTATTTGTGAAAAATAGCCATAAAACTGTATTAGAGCAATATTTCTAATTACCTTGTTTCAAAATTCATGGTATCAGAGACTTGTGGATGAAATTCAAATTGTATAACAGAAATATATATAAATTTACTCAAGGAAATTAAAATGTGTATTTCAGGGCTCATCAATAATAGTTACAGGTATTCTAGAAGGCAGTTAAATAATGAATACATGTTCTATACATGTAGAAAACATTGCTTGATGTGGTACTGGACTTGGTTGTCTTGTTAGTAGAAATTGAGTAAACAGTCAAAAGTACAGAAACTTCTGAAAATCAGAAGTTTAACTTCTCAGACTGTAAGCTGTCAACAGGCAGGAATTCCTTTTATTTCTTTATAAATTTCCACAAATTGCTAAAATTTTTGCTATAAATTACCAATACCTTACAGTATATCCAAAGCAGGTGCCAAATAAATATGTGATGAAAGACTATGGAATAAATGAACTTATTAAAGAGAAAGCTTTGAGGAGAGATGACTAGTAGGCAGTACCTAAGACGATTTCAGCACGTCTGGCTACTAGAAAGTAACGGTATAAAACAGATTTTCCCAGAAAAGACACCTGGTTAAGTGAGAACAAAAATTTATGTGGAAAGAAAAAACACAAAGAGATAATATCAAAAATTTTGACAGCAGCAAATGGGTAGGAGTTAAGAAGCCAGGATTCTAATACCATATTTTTAATTTGTTTGTTTGTTCGTTCTACTTCAGGCATTTACGTTTCAGTTCAGAACCCTTAACTGTGAGATGACTGGGCTGGATTAAATGATACCCAGGGCACTTTTGAACCTAACAAAAATGTGACTTAGGTTACTCAGTTGGGTGTTTGAACGGATGTGAACAGAAGAGGGAAATAAAATGAGCCTAGTCAGTTACATACTTTGAACAGAGGGTTTTTAAAAACTTATATAAGGAAAAATTCAGTGTCTACTTATTGATTCAATTAATAGTGACCACTTTTGTACTGGTTTTCTTCCTAGTCTGAAACTTTTACATTCAGAGAAAATTTACTGTGGTGGAAAGTATGTGAGCTTTGGAGAGAGTCAGAATAAGGATTAAATTCAGACTTTGACATAATCTTAGAAATTTCTAAAAAGTAATCATCCAGATTCTCAATTTCTGTATCTGAAAAATGAATATAATAATACATCATATAGTCTGAGGACTCAATATATGCAATGTGTATGTTAAGTACATGTGTGTGTCTAAATGCCAAGTGCATGCTGTATATACCATCAGATCTCAATATGTGATTTCATTTAGAAGTTAGATCCTAACAGTGGATTCTTAATAGTTATATAAACACTGCAAATAGGGTCCATGAGCAGAGGCCATGCAAAATTAAGGAGTCATGGAATTTTACAGCTATAGGAAACCTTACATAGTATTTTACAGATGAGGAAACTGAGATCCAAAGGAATGATCTTTTCCAAAGTTCCCAGCTAGGTCATGGCATAATTAGACCCAAACCCCAAATGTATCAACATACTGGAACATAATATAAGTCTTAATCTTTCTACTTACCAAAGGTAAAAAGAGATATTTTGAGATACTTTAAAAGTAAGATTTTATTAAAGTAAGAAAGAGGAATTCATAGATAGGAAAATTAAAAATATTATACAGTCAGCTATTTCAAGAACTTTGAAAGCATATTTTTGTACTGCATTCTTGGAACTTATGATAGCCAGGACATTAAAGTATGCATATAACTCTGTGCTAGCAGAAAAGTATTGATGAAGTAATGGGATTCCAATCATTCCACCTCTTCAATACATAACAAGTTATCAGGAGAATATTTAAAGATTAAATGTCAAATGTGTGGAAAATCATTAGTATGAAATTTCTATAGTCCACAAAAGATTTTTCTCAACCACAATACATATAATATATAAATATATATAATATCTTTATATATAAATATGTATACTAATCCTGGGAAACAATTAATTTGAATTACTAATAATTCCAACAATTCCTAGTCTGAATTAGATCAATATTTTGACAATATTCACTTTTTTCATATAGACTTCAATATAAATTTAATACTCAAAATATATTAAAGTAGATAATATTGGATAATGGAATAATTAAAATTCTGATTTCTCACACAAAATTAAAGAAAAAATAAAACAAAAATAAAGAAACCATGAAAAAAATTACTACGCTCAAATTGTTTTCTGGTAAAATATGTATGCTCTTTCTACTATGTTTTACACCAAGATGGATTTCTACCAGGCAGTGTCCAAATAGTTTATGCATTAAGAATGCCACTAGGTGGCACTATAAGATAAATGACTTTAGGGAACTACACTCAACTGATTTTTAAAATTTTTAACTGAATGAAAAAAAGGACATTTCCTAGACATTTATAAAATATATTATTGGGCTGGCTCCAAGTTATAAACAAATGTTATTCTACATTTATGCCTAAAGTTTTCCATATTTTTCTAAGTTCTATTTTATTTCTTGAAGACTTCCATTACAAAGTCAAATTAGGGATTAGGATTAGTAAAAAGATTGTGTTGCATATATCAAATATAGGGAAAAAAACAAATGAGGCTCTGTAAAACAGAGACTTTTTTGTAATCTCAGATTTGAGATTTATAAAAATATATTAATTTATTTTTTCTCATTGCCATGTAGTATTCCATGGTATAGATAAACCACATCTTCTTGATCCATTCATCTGTTGATGGACACTTAGGCTCTTTCCATGTTTTAGCTATTGTGGAGAGTGCTGCTGTGAACATTGGGGTACATGTGCTCCTATGCCTCAGCATTTCTGTATCCCTTGGGTAAATTCCTAGCAGTGCTATTGCTGGGTCATGGATGGACCTTGAGGGTGTTATGCTGAGCGAAATAAGTCAGGCAGAGAAGGACAAATATCATATGTTTGCACGTATAGGAGGATTAGGAGAAACTTGACGGAGGAACAAGGGGGAGAAGAAGGGCGGAAATGGTGGGGGAAAGGGAGAGAGGCAAACCATGAGAGACTCTTGAATGCTGACAAAAACTGAGGACTGATGGATGTGGGGGGGAGGGGGGGATGGGCATGGAGGAGGGCACTTTGGGGATGAGCACTGAGTGTTATGTAGAAACTAATTTGACAATAAACTATTTGTAAAAAAAAAAATATATATATATATATATATTAATTTAAAAGCTAGGTAGCCAGGTAGGATGTTAGAGAAAACATAATTCTTGAATACTAAGATATCGATTTCTAACTGTTAAACAGAACATATAAATCAAACTGCTAAAGTTAATATGGAACATATTATACAAATATTGATAGATAGTTCTACCTGATCATACTGCACTGAACATGAGTCAGATCAAATTATTGCATTTCTTTTTAATGTTTGACGACTACAAAGACAGGTAGGATATAACACTGCTCTCAATATTTGACAGAGTGCTTAGTAAGATTTCTTCTGGTGTATGCAGAGGCTCGTTAATTTACCTGTTATAGGATCCACTGCATTTCCTGGAAGAGAAACCTGCATCTTTAGTCAGGAAAGAGAAATGTGGCCCTAATTTGCTGACCTGTAGAATGTGCAGCTTGAAAGCCTTTTCTTTGAACAGATGCATCAGAAATAAACCGAACAAACATTTTATTTCCGGTAGCCACAAGGGGCTCTGGTATTTTGTTGCCACATAGTCGTCCAAGAATTGGTGATTTTTCTGTTTCTCCATCAAATACTTCCAGGTGATCATAAGCACACTCTTGATGCTGCTCAATCTCAAACTCACTAAAGGCCTAGTTAAAAAAAAAAAAAAAAAAGGAAAAAGGAATAAAGGAAAAGAAAAAGAAAAACAAAAAAACCCACATATCATTCAAAATGGATTCTTTCCTCTGGAGCAGAAATACAGATCAATAAAACATGCTCAGGACATATAAATACAGTAATCCATATGGAATATTATTGAAAGAGTGTGAAATCAATAGAATGTAAAATCTCTGCAAAAACATAAGGAGGAAATGAACGCAATAGCTCCAGGTGAAATTCTACTATTCTACTATTTCAACTAAATCTACTATGTCAATCTACCCCAAAATATAGACATATTATAATCACAAAGTGATATTTTATTCTGAATATAATTCTTAGTTTATACTGAATGCATCAGAAAACAACTGTATTTTAAGAACTGAATCCTCTAGTTTTGATGGTCATAAACTATGGAACATTATCCTACCTTGGATGTATTTTGTGTGCAAGTACCTTGGGGCGCTTAAAATAAGCAGAAAACCTCATAAAGTTATTGTTATATTTCCACAAAATTAAGCACAGTAAATCTTAATAGGATAACTAAAACAAAGGGAATTTTCACTATATACTCCTTTATTTAGATCCTACAAACCCATATTACTAGAGAATCCTAATATGATTTTAGGCTACATTATTTTTAGTTTACTTTTAAGATAGATGGTACACTTATTTTAATATTTAGAGTCTTGCAAAGTTTAGTATGCCCTTAAAAATTCTTTTACTTTTCCTGTGTAGCAAGTTTTACTTATGAATCTAAGCAACTTCTTCTTTTTATACTTGTAGCAAGAATTACTATCAAACCACTCACTGGGCCAGAAACCAGTGTTAACGAAAGACTTGCCCTCACGTCACACACCACCTGCACTTGTGAGCTCATCAGCCAGCCAGCGGCCTCACCTCCATGCTTTAACAAGGTACAGAAGCAAATTCTTAAAACGAAAATTCATTAAATGTATAACACATTAAACCTCGCAAGAGAACGTGTAATTGAGCCAGACTGAAGATAGTAATGTCCAAACTATTAATAATTCCAGGAATTCTAGGTTATTTGCCATCGCCGATTAAGGCGTTTTCCTTCCCCTAGAAAAACCATCGTGTCTTCAAGAAACACACTATTACTTCTACGAAAGTCTATAGAGCAAAGCTAAAACAAAATAATAAGGAAAACAATGCTGAAGAAACAGCATATACTCAAAACATTCACTAGTTTGGCTGAGTCTCTGCAGCTTAAAATATTTGCACAAAACTTTTTAGATACACGTTTTGAATGCCATTTGGTGAAGTTATCACACTTCTAAGTTTAATTAAGACCCACATTTTTGTAATTATGAAAGAAAAAAATTGGCCAAGAATGGCTGTCCTTCAGTGCTGGCCACAATTATCTATCCCTTAACACATTGCTGTCTATCACTGACTTTGGAGGAGTCAGGGAAGAAATGAAAGAAGCAATTTATATTAATTAGGGAGCAGGAGAAAGGAATGAAAGATACTTAAAAGAAGAAACAAAAGAAAAGAAAGAGGTCTGATCTCTACTGTTGTATTCCACGGCATCCTACTTAGAAATATAAATTAAAATGTTTTAACTGGTAAGCATTAGAGAGTCATTGCATATTATAATCATAATGGGTAAAAAGGGATGTTCACTGCATTCTACCAAAGACACTGGATAGTGCAAAAAAGATTAAATGCAGTACAACGAATCTTACTGGAAACAAACCAACAAAAAACAGTGCAGAAAAATACAGTGAACAAGGAGACTCTAGCAGAGTGTATTTATCATGAAGTACAACATTCAAAGCAGGTGGTCACTAAAGACTGCCCCTTATTTATCTCTGCAATGCAATGGCAGAGAATGGAGTAGAGTGGACACAGCACATGAGTGATATAGAAGACTCTGAATGAACGGTCAGCTGGATGTCCATTCATTTACCTATCTACCTATTCCATGTTTATGGCCAACCCCATGAATGGAAACGCTGTAAAAGGGGAAGGTCAACAACTTCAAGTTTTCTGCCTGTCATGACATGGTACTCAATCAGCTTCTCTGACCACTGTGCACGTACAAACAGTCTCAGTATCAGTTTGTGACTGTTAAGAAACCAATAGGAGAAAATTGGCTCATCCACGTTTAGAATTTATGTGGATTAAATATAAAACCAAGCTACTGAATTATAAGATCAGTGTTATTTCAAGAAACAAACAAACACTGTTTCAGGAAAATAACATATGAAAACCATTGCATGCTGAACAATTATTTCTTTTAAATGTAATTTAGAGTCATTCATCTATAAAGAGCAGAAAAACCTACTGTGTAGAAGAGAAAATTGTAAGAATGATGGGGGGGTGGCGTGGGGGTGAGGGCTTTCTAAAGCACATCCTGTAAGTAAAAGTTAAGATGGGATCAGAACTTACAGACCACACATGTTCAGTCCATTGAAAAGTAAGTGAATGAGATAACTAAGTGACTACTTCACTCCTTAATGAAATGCAGGATGTCTGGAGTGAATCATAACATGTGTTTTACAGAACAGAGCACCACCACACAGAGTGGCAGTGCGCTTGTGGGCTGGGGGCATACGGACACCTGGTCTGGAGCCAACTGGCTCCCGCTTTCTATCAAATTACTAATGGAATCAGACTGATTCTGGAAGGGCCAAATTAGGCAAAGGTTTTGCAGCTGACATGTTCTCAAGTGATGCAAACAATTCTCCTTCATTAAGGTCTTAGTGACTTTTCCTCCTGGAATTGGTAGCAGCTTGTTAGTTCATCTGCAAAGATTGGGTGGTCCTTTTCCAGAAGTCAGTCTAGCCCAAATGCTTCCACACGAGCAAAAGCATGACCAATTCACATGCTGAAATCTCATAAACCTGGCCCTTCATATCACAGAGATAGCCACATCTAGAGGCCTCCATATACAGTGACATTGCCTCAATAAAAAACATTTCTAGGCCATAGAAAGGTATTACAGGGGTCCATGGGACATTGGGAAAACCTCAAAAAATACTTTTGCAGAATTCCCAAAGATACAGTGAGACACACAATTTATTTTCTTTTATGATGCATCCTGAGCCATGAACATCTAGATCTAAATAATGCAGAATATGGAGATTTCTAGCCTCTAGGAATCCATGTCACAGAATTGCTTCCCCTCGCCCCCCCCCCCCCCCCCCCCCCCCCGCCAAAGACACTTAGAATCGCAAAACCTCCTTCAACTACACAATGGTAACAGGACAGCTAAGCAAAGCTGATATATGAAGCTGTACGAAAGTCTGATTTCTGCTGGAACACTGCCCTCTCTTTTGGTACTTTAGAATATTTTTCTTAAGTGTTTACACTACAACTTTATAAACATTTTAGTACGCAAACGTTTAAACCTTACTGATTCCATGATTCTATTTCTATGATTTTAAGGTTACTAACCCAAGTTTTTAAAAACAAAAAAGAGCAAATAACCACAAGCTCTCATCAGAAATACTAATGCATTTCCCACCAGGCGAACCAAGAGATTAAGGAGTCTCATTCGAAAGAAATAAAACTGAATTCTCATTTTGGGCTGTGGAAAGAATAACTATGTGTTTCTGGAACACCCAAGCAAGCCTAATCTACCTAGCTGGCCAGAGGCCAGGCTTTCATATGCAGCCTCACATGAACATCTGTAGAGGTGCTTAGATTGAAAATACAGGCGCCGGTAAAGGGTAAGGCCATTCAGAGTCGCCACATATATTCATAAAGGACAAGAAAAGAAAATGATAGCACTCGATGCAAAAATAAAATTTAGCCAGGGTGACCACTAAAAGTGAGCAAATGAAAGACGCTGATGCAATTTGAGCAGCTGTGAGATAAGATTTAGAGCTCCCTGGGCCCAGCCATCTTTCGCCTTTTCCTGTCTTTGGTAAGAACTGTCAGTTGGTTTCCCCCAAGATACTGGAAGGGGTAAAGGCCACTGGGAAAAATGGCAGCGTGGAATACAGACCCTAGACTTCTGATTCAAATGACCTTTTCTTTTCCAAGAGGCCTCTATAGCTGTGGTCAAATACACTTTCTGGGAATTTATAATGGAGAATTGTGTAACATTTGTAGGTGCTTTTGTTTTCTAAATATCCCATATCTAAAGCTATAAATTGCAACTACATAACTTTGCAAAACTCCAGGATATGATAAATTAAATAAACGTGATAGAGCACATGGCCTATTGCTATATGCTCCTATGTCTGGAACTTTGTTTCTGTTCTGTTGGTTTGTTTCTGTTTTATTTTCTATTTAATGAAGAGCAATTCAAAACATTAAAAAAGTACCAAAAATGTAATGATGAGTCTCTCATCAAGAATCAAGAATCAAGACAGGATGAAACCAGGAGTAAAATAGACCCTTGTCCTTATTCATTCAGAACTTTATCTCTTTTCCTCGTATAACGAGGATGTCCCCCCACCCCAAATATCTTTCGATCAAGTTTTCTTTCTATTTTAAAGCTATTATCACATAGCATTTCATAATGAAGCACACACACAAACACAGAGAAACAAAGCAAATGTATTAGTTTCCTATTGCTGCTGTAGCCAATTACCATAAATTTAGTGGCTTAAATGGCACACATTCATTCTCCAATAGCTATGGAGGTTAGAAGTCTAAAATAGGTGAGAAGCACCGGACCTTCCAGAAGAAGGTGAGGATCTGTTTCCTTGCATTTTGCCCATCTGCTAGAGGCGGCCCTCAGTCCTCAGCTCATGTCCCTTTCTTCCATCTTCAAAACCAACAGTATAGCCATCTCCTCTCTGATCTTCTGCTCCCATCCTGTAAGCACCCCTGTGATTACATCAAACCCACCCAGATAATCCAGGATAATCTCCCCATTTCACGATCTTTAATTTAACCACAGCTCCTTTTGCTACATAAGGTAACACGTGCACCGGTTCTGGGGATTGGGACGTGGACATCTTTGGGGGAACGAGGAACACTATTCTGTCTACTACAGAAAATAAGAGCTAAA